ATTCTACAGACTGTTGAGGGTTCAGCCTCCTGATGAGTCGGTGAAACTCCGACGAAACAGTTTGTCACAGCCCCTCGTTTGTTGTCCTCTTCTCCCTCTCTGCCTACGGTTTACCGGGCAGTTCTATTTGACGATATATATGTGCGTGGGCCTAGCTCAGTTCAAACACTCATGGCTGGGTTAATTGATCGGAAACTGTTGCATAGGACACAGCTGTTCTTTTTTTTGTATTCGCCCTTTTGCAACCTGTAAGCGCACAAAAGTAATGTTTCATTATGAACTTAGTTCGACAGTCGGTCTTTGCTTCATGCTTTTTTTTTTTGGCTTATGCTTCTAGCGGATTTGTTGCGCTCATCCTCCGTGCACTTTTTGATGATGTGTTTGTTTGCAGATTGGACATAATGTAGTTATGGGAAAGTGTTGCATTTTGTGCGGACAAGTGGGACTCGCAGGATCTGTGACGTAAGTGCCAGCAGAGGCCATGCGGATGAACTGTTAAAACACAAACCTGAGTTCGGATCCAGATGAGGGAACTAGATGAACGAAATCAAAACAATTACTGGGGGCCGGCCAGTTCAATGACGATATCCCCTTCAAAAAAGGGAAAAAAAAAGAAACAAAAGCATGGTGATAATGCCAAACAAAACACGCAGAACCTGGGCTACCAGCCGGGCCGCCCGGGTCCCGGGTGGCCAGCCCGTGCAAGGACCAGGGAAGGTCCCAGCCAAAAAAAAAAAAAAAAAAAAATCCAAAAAATCCGAAAACAAACTATGTTATGCAGAAAAATAAACTGAACAACTTTTGCCTCAGGGTCACATCGAAATTCTGCACCAAATTTAGAAAAAAAATAATTTTTTTATTTTTTTATTTTAATTTTAATTTTTTTATTGTTTTTGGCCCGGCCGGGCAAGTGACCCCGGGCCACTCTGGTAGCCTAGCCCAGGGCCAGAACTTCTTTTTTGTTCTGCGATTTCGAGCATTAGGAGCTTAGCAGCAGGCCTCCAGGCCAGATGCAGACCTGGCAATATCACTGGCATGTGACCCACCACTTTTTTTTTTTTCCTATTATTATTATTATTTTTTGCGCACTGGGGCTGCCCGGAAACCCTGTCTAGCAGCCATGCCCGGCTGGACACAAGGTTGGTTCCCAAGGCCAGCCGAAAAAAAAAAAAAAACCCTGGAAAAAAAGAATGTTGATTTCGATTTCCTTAACAGGTTATATCTCTTTGTCTATTGCGTTGCTTTTCTATGTCTGGCCTTCAGTTGGTCTGTTAGTCGGTCGGTTTTTTTTTGTTTTTTTTATTTTTTTTTTTATAGCTTATGTTCCCTGTTTTTTAAACTTTTTTTTATCTTATGCAGCTTACGGTTCCTTCTACTCTTGCTGGCTGCAGCTCTTCACATTCTTCCTTTACCTTACCGGGGTTCAAAGCAGAGAAAATGTGATACCTGGCGATGGTTAAAAGCAGAGAAAAATTCAGAAAATGCGATATCTTGTGATGGTTAAAAGCAGAGAAACAAAATCTGATGCGTAGCGATGGTTAAAAGAAGAATGAACTTCAATGAAGTATCACCTTACCATGGTTAACAGCAGCAATTAAAGAAGGTCGTACCTGTTATGCCTTGTGAGGATGGACCCAGTCTCAGGTGCGCAATCCTGTCATAGAAGCTCGCAGACCTCTGGCTGCAATTCTGTCGAGTCGAGGAGGGACGTCCGGACCTCGTTCTTTCGACATCTGAGCCGACCTTGCTTAATATGTCCTCCTCCCCTCCATTCTTCTTGGCTATGGTGCTTCTTGCTTCTGCTGAGCATCTGTCTTTCCGATCTGCCCTGTTCTGTCATATTGGCATGTGTATGGGAACATGTGTTGGTGCTCTTCTGAGTTGCTTTTCGACTTTCAATCAGTCACGTGGCAGAGATCTGTGCCAACCTGGTTAATATGTACAAACCTACGTGTTTTGTTTTAGAATTTATTAGTCCCTCCAAATAAATAAATAGACAAATAAATCTATCTATAGATATGTATGTATAGAGCTGATTCTTTCATGCGTAGAAAGCATGTTGGACCAGAGAAGGAAACACAGAGAATTTTGGGAAATGCGAAAAGAAAGAGAACAGCTTGCATAATTTTCCGAGTGGCATCTCTTCTGCTCCTCTTCCCCTGCCCCCCCTTTCCCCTCTCAAGTCTACTTCTCCTCCTCTTTCCTCCTCTCTTTGTCTTGGTTGGATTTGAAATACTCTCTTCTGCTCCATCCATTTATATGATTATCCTGATTGCCGTACCGTATGTCAGCTAAAGAAATCCCCTCTTTCTCCTTCCCCTCCCCCCACGCCTAACCCTCACTCTTTTTTTTTTTAATGGAAAGGGATTTACCCTGTAATGCTGTAGCATTAGTGTATGCATCTGCTTCCACCAGGGTTCAGATGGGTGATCCTGTTTACCGACAGCGACACGTGTGTGTACCACTTCTTAGCCATATGATCTGGCGCCTCTTCTCCTTTCTCTGTGGGAGGGACAGCAATTGATTGCCTTTGTGGTGCTGGGATGCTCACCCCGATCAGTTTCTAACTTCGGAATGAATGTGTGCATGGATGTGGTCCTTTCTACCTTTCTGGTACGTCTGTGATGTGGATGCGTTTATACATCAGGTTGGGTGATTACGTTGTCATGGGCGGGAAGAGCGGCATTGCGGATCATGTCCAAGTTACATCCAATGTAAGTTCAAAGGAATTCTAGACACAAACAAACCGGAAGTTTGATTCCAAATGAGGAATATTCTACAACCCGCTCGTACTTTTCCCGGCCATAATTTTATTCTGCAACACGGCTGTTGCATGTGCCACAACTTCCAGGGCACTGCCTACCTGAGCCAAATGGTTGGCAGCGCCAGGCAAAAGAGAGAGAAGCTCAGAAAATGCACCCGTTTGTTTTTTTCTTTGGCGGGCAGCGGGGAATCCGCTTCGGCAAAAGAAAGCGTCCAAGTACTCGTGGTTTGAACAAGGACTGCAGAAGAGGCAGTTAGTCTCTCAGAGACTTGGGGAATACAAATATTATTATTATTATCATTTTTGTGACCGAATCCGACCTGCTTTTCTGGTCAGATTCAATTGCTAAAAGTGCTATTGTGAGTATAAAATGGCCTGAACCTGTGTTGTCACCCAGCGACGGTCGGCGCCCCCCAATTGGTCGGGGACCGACCACACCCCCATAAAACGCCCTTATGACTCCCATACTCCCCTCCCCTCCCC